GCTACCCCACACGGGGTCGGCCGGCTTGTTGTCCGAGGCCGGACGCCTCCCACGCTTGTTGGGCCTCGCGACGTTACACTTCGCCGTAAGGAGCGTTGCCATCTGTTCATCCCACACAGCCCGCTCTACCTTCGACAGTGTCGCCAACTCCGTCGACGCAAGCTCCAACTCTTCCAACTCACCCCCTGGTGCAATGGGCTTCTTGGACTCTACCTCTCTGATCAAACGTTCTACCCACTTGCGAAAAATCAGAAACGCGTTGGTCAGCGCCTGCTCCAACTTTGCGTCATACACAAGGCGCCAGAAGTTCGTGTAGGACTTGTGGTCGTGCGTGTGAGACCCGTTCTGTTGGTCGACCAAACCCACCCCCAACATCTTCAGAACGTAATCCATACGCATCCAAGGCTGCTGCAAATCCAGAGGTTCCCCGTTGCGGCCCTTCGCTCTCAGTCTGCACAACAGAAGGCGCGCAGGGTAAAGTTGCGAGGGGGCTGCGTGTGAAAAGAGGGACGAACAGGCTTAGGCTGGCGAGCAAAAGGGGTACATGGATGTGGGGCACAGGCTTGAGCACAAGGACGACCACCGTCAACAGAGGTAGCACGACACAGTATCCGACTCCGGCNGAAAAAAGTCAAGAAGAACACTAGTCAGACTCATGATAGAGGCAAAGGCTTGAAGTGGTCGATTCCACCTGCCACCTCCTTTCCCTTGGCCGGTTGCGCGACGTGGATGGTGTTGATGAGGACGATATCCTTGGAGTCAGCCCACTGCACGCACCCCACTTGCCCCGAACGGCAGAAGTTCATGTCGCCGCGGTTAGGAATGGTACGCCCGTGGCTCTCGAGGTACGCATCAACGCCGGCAGTCAGATCGGCGCGGCAGGTACCTACAGCGAAGATGTCGTGGGAGGCGAGGCACTCGAACAGAGTGGGGGAGGTGAAGTAGTTGTCCGTGGCGATGAATGCCCCCGAGCCATCGATGTTCTGCTTCAACATGCCTCACTCCCCCAACAGAACGTGAAGCACGTGGCGAGTAGTCCGGCCGAGCGGGCAGTCCATGTAAGTAAGGGCGAAGCCTGGGGTCTCCTTTCATGCCGCCATCCACGCTGCTGGTTAAGCAGTAGCCCGTGATATCGCACGCCGCTAGTAGCTTCATGCCTGGCACACATCAAGAAAAAACCGGACGAACGTCCGCCGACAGAGAGGCCGAAGGGACCAGCTGTGGTAAGACTAACGTTGGAACCAGCAGCTGTTGACACCAAGGCGTATTAATGATTCCCGAAGTCTGCGATCACTGATGTACAGAAAAAGAAATGGCGTTGTGGAAGAAGCGGGAAAACGCCGCACCGGGGCNTTCGTATCAATGATTTCCGGAGTCTGCGATCTCTGATGTACAGAGAAAGAAATGGCGTTGTGAAAGAAGCGGGAAAACGCCGCACCGGGGCGTGGATAAGTGCCACCACCCAACTCGACGGCTCCTCTCAAACCCTACCTCTCTCTACTTTTGACAAGAAACACATGGGATTGTCCACGTGTACCACGGTCAAACTACTCTCGGAGACCCGTTTCGTGAGACAAGCTTTCAAATGCGTGCGCATGCTCACCGTGCTTGATGGGCTTCGCCGGGCAGAAGAAAGAAACCTTGCTCGAGTACTTCAAAACAGTCTTGATCATTTGCTCGTCGTACGACAACCAATTGTCACACTCGACGTTCGTCGCCCATGCAGTGTTAAGGACCTCTACTACCTCCCTGCCAGACAGAGAAGAGCACCAGAAACACAGCACTTTAAAGGGTGGGTCGTTGCCGGCAGGAACACGCTCGTCATTTTTCATTTCTATCTACTGTACCAGGACNAAGAAAGAAACCTTGCTCGAGTACTTCAAAACAGTCTTGATCATTTGCTCGTCGTACGACAACCAATTGTCACACTCGACGTTCGTCGCCCATGCAGTGTTAAGGACCTCTACTACCTCCCTGCCAGACAGAGAAGAGCACCAGAAACACAGCACTTTAAAGGGTGGGTCGTTGCCGGCAGGAACACGCTCGTCATTTTTCATTTCTATCTACTGTACCAGGACGACTACAAGACAAAATTGAGCGTCGGGTGATGTACTCGACGGAAGAAACGTCTACTCATACAGCGTGCATGTGCCAAACTTCACTGCCAGCAAACCAAAAACAAACCATACGGCTCGCACATGAAATAGCGGCGCCGTATATGGAGGAGAATCTTCGACTTTCCGGGGGGCTTCGGTACCCTTCGACCCACGTCTGTCCCGCCCCCACCATCCCAACTGCAACAAAACCGAAACGACGAGACCCAAACAAACTCGACACCCAAGGTTTTCAACAGGACACACAGATTGAAAACGAAGACTCCTGATATGCCACTTGGAGTCGTAGTCTGGGTTTTCTTCGCCATCGGGTAGCAGTCGCTCCGGAGCGTAGGGGTTGGAGCAGTGAAAGAAGCAGCAGTACAAGAGCTCGAACACGTCGCGCGGCATGCTGGACCTGCGGGTAGTTGTCGTGGGCGGACCGGCTCCAGTGCTTTCGCATCCGGACTNAAACTCGACACCCAAGGTTTTCAACAGGACACACAGATTGAAAACGAAGACTCCTGATATGCCACTTGGAGTCGTAGTCTGGGTTTTCTTCGCCATCGGGTAGCAGTCGCTCCGGAGCGTTGGGGTCGGAGCAGTGAAGGAAGCGGCAGTACAAGAGCTCGAACACGTCGCGCGGCATGCACTTCTGGACCAGCGGGTAGTTGTCGTGGGCGGACCGGCTCCAGTGCTTTCGCATCCGGACTTTCTTCGTGAGGCCCATGGTGATGAAAATGCCGATCATGCCGTCGATGTGCTGCTCCTCGAACATGCCGTAGGTGTTGCGCTCCTCGGACCGCTCCCCGAGCGTGACGCGACCGAGCGTGGCGGACTTCTTCATCTGGTGTGGCTTCCGCTTGTCCTCCTCCCCGGGCGGCGGCGCCGTCGTGCAGTGCTTGACGTTGGCATTTGTCTGCCCCCAAAATAACGGAGGAGCGGGGGCGGGGTGGGGGAGAGAGACACGGAGGTTAGATGGGGGCGGGTTTCGAGGCAGGTTTCGAGTCAAAGTCGTGCGAAAGGCCATTTCAGAATCGTGGCAGAGCTATTGGGCGCACGGCAGCAGGTGGGCAGCGACTTTTTGCGGGGTGGATGGGTACCGAAGAGAGGGCGGGCGGTAGGTCTCGGGCTGTTTGTGCACCTTCATCGTACATATTCGGTTTCACCATTGCAAGCACTGGAAATTCCTGTTCCAATACTCAGCACACACGCGCACCACGGGACACATGAAAGCAAAGCGGTGCGTATCGCAACAAGGCAACAACATAATTAACATACCTTATCCAAAAACAACTTTCGCGCCTTTTGCGGGAAGGTGAGGTCCAAGCACTTCTCCAAGACGAGGTCAAGCGAAAACTCCCCGCTGGTAGCGTCCTGTGCGACGTGAAATTGTCCAACGATGGCAGCCCGGCGCGAGCCTCTGCCGACAACGAAACTCCACCCCCGATGTCGTTTGACATCTTCTTGTTGCGCCTCGTGAAGTGGTCGGACGTTTCGTTGTCCTCCATCCCCCTTTCCGNATTGTCCAACGACGGCAGCGCGGCGCGAGCCTCTGCCGACAACGAAACTCCACCCCCGATGTCTTTTGACATCTTCTTGTCGCGCCTCGTGAAGTGGTCGGACGTTTCGTTGTCCTCTGTCCCCCTTTCCGTCCACACCACCTCCTCGTCACCGCTCTCTTCCTCCAGCTCTGGGGGTGACGACTTGCTGGACTTGGACTTTTTCTTCCGCTTGGGGTTGGTGGCTTCCTCCTTCTTCTGCCGTTCATATCGGAGCTTCGTTCAACACGTCCAGCGAACAAACAAACGTGAACAGCGATGGTTGGGACAAAAAAAGAACAATTGGTGAAAATGCGGACACACGCGCGAAAAACAACCATAAGCGTATCACTACGGGCGTGAGGCGGGGGCGTGGAAGTAGGCCACACGTTTTCGGACTGAACAATGTACAGCAGCAAATATTCCTGACAACCGTCGTGGACAAGCGACAGTACAACGGCGTCGACCACGACGGAACCATTGCGTACAACCAACGACGAAGGGGCGTTGTACGTCATACGAGAAAATGAGTTGCATTACACAACACCGGAGCAAAAGACCCGCGGAAATAAAGAATAGATCACAAGAGGCCATTGCAATAATGTGTCACTGCCCCAAACAAAGCACGTCAACCAGAGGTTCAACCCCGTACGGAACATAACACGACACATCAGTCGCCGACACAAGACAAAGGAAACACACTCCTACAAGCACGCCCTAACGGATGCGCACTCACACACGATCACAAGAGGAACACGGGACACAGAACACACCTTTTCGGCCTTCGCTTTCATGATGCTCGTACGTTTGAACGCCAACTTGAACGCTGGTTCAGGGATCTTGTTCAGCTTGCGCCGCAGCAACTGTTGACTCCTTGTGAGAGAAGGGAGCGCGCCTCTGCATCCGAGATAAGTCCAGTCCGTGCCCTCGTCGCCAATGCTCCCATCGGAGTCGTAGTTGCCCCCCCCGTGCTGCCGGCCGCGCCACCTCCCCTTGACTTCCCCTTGCTTTCTCCGCTTGGCCCTTGTTTTTTCTTGCTACCCCCATCGCTCTACGCCGTCCGCTTGCGCTTCGATTGCGCCAGCGGCCCGTCGTCATCTTCCAGCTGCGACTTCTTCGTGCTCGTGCGTTGCNGCGGCCCGTCGTCACCTTCCAGCTTCGACTTCTTCGTGCTCGTGCGTTGCCGCTTCAACGTCGTGTCCGCACTCCCCGCCGCTCTCCTCCTTTTCACCGGCACAGGTGACGGCAGCGATGTGTCGCCGTCGCCCTCTCCTCCAGACCGGGCGACGGAGATGATAGCGTCGAACCCAGCGTCAAAATCGGCACCGAGCCCCAGAAAGTCGAAGTGGTTGTGGCGAGACACCGTATTTTCGTCACCCCCAACTTCGGTTCTCGCTTCCCAACTACTCCCGCTGCGGTATAACAGGTGCACCCACTTATTATGCCCCTCTTCGTCGTGCTTGATTTTTTTGTCAAACAGAAACAGGCCCCACATACATGTTCTTTTTGTACAGCTGCACGAACTGCCCTTTCCCGGTAGGCTCCCAAACCGCAGTGTTGACCCCGTACATTTCGGGGATGAGTCACTGCCAGCACAAGTCCAGCCACTCCGTCCGTAGCATCTCTTGCACTATCGAATCCAGCCAACCGTAGGTCATCACGCCTTTGTCCGCGGGTTCAGGTGTGTTCAGCTCATACGGATGCATCCGGAAAGTTTCAGTGCACTGAAGAGCGCGAGCCCGACGCGTCTGCTCAGTCGAAAGCAGAGTGGTCATGACCGCTTGCGACGCTGATGGTCCTAGGATGTGGGAGACGATGCTGTGTTTGAGGGCACTCTTCACACCATCAGACATTCGTGGAACACGCATGTTCGTCTGTCCAACACTCGCCTGGAGACCTTTCAGCAAGGCGTGGTAAGCACAATCCCCATCTCCGGCAACCTCGTGCGCTTGAGCTCCTCCCGGGGGCGTGAACGTGCGGCGGGATTCCTGTCTCTTGACAACGCAGTTCACCTTGGGAAGACTGGACTCAAACCCCGCCTTGTTGGCCGCGTCACGGCCGAGGCGGTAGGCTTGGGGCAGGAGCTCTTGGGGTGTGCACACCCCCGTAAGTTCGACGTCAGGTTCAGGTTCGGGGCGAAGAGCAGCAGCAGACACGGCAGCAGCAGCAGCAGTAGCCATGATGGTGCGGGGGAGAAATCCCGTCAGCAGGGCGAAGCATTTTGTGTTCATCGCACCTGCTGGCGTCTGTGTGTGTGTGTGGTCTTGCGCGCACTCGCGGATCTGCACGGCAGGCAGTGGAACTCCCTACTCGTGTATTACTTGCGTCGGGAACTGTGTGTCTGGTGTCCCCGCGTGCAGACTTCCACTGAGAAGGCGATCTTTTCGCGCTGTCGAGCCCGCGCTTGCAGTGCGACTTTCGGCGAAAAACTTGTGCAACAAGGAGAGTAACAACATTCTTATCGTTACTCAGGAGGGGTGTAGTCAAAAAAGGGTTAAAAAGATCTAGCTGGTTTGTGGTGCAGGAGTAGACGGAGGTAAAATACGTCCACGTTGTCGGGTGTAACGGCGTGTACGCGAGCAACGTGTCGGCGACTCCTTCGAGGATGGACAATATTACGGTAGACGTCACGATAGACTTTATCTGATGCACGCGTTTTTTGTCGGACACGGTATATTATTCGTAGTAATCGAGGAAAAGGTCAAGTCGTCGGATTGGCTTCCAATTGGCCTACCAAATAATCGATGAGGTCAGACTTAGAATCGTGAGCGGCGTTTCTTTGCTCTTGTCGGGAAAGAGATTCGTCGACAATGACATGTTTTTCATTAGGAAGGTGCAGGCGGAGAGACGACACATGATAACTTGACGTCTGCACAACCGGCGCGGTCGTGCAATATATATACATGTATATCAACAACAGTGTCGACTTCGTCCAGGGCAAGATTTTGTGCGGTGACGAATCCCTCTGGGAGGCATCTTGGCGCCTTTTTTCAGGAAAAAGAAAAAGTCTGGGATACACACCTGAAAGTCATGGTACACATCACCAGTCGTCAACGATGAAGACACCTATCCCCGCCTGTAAGGCGATGAACCGCTTGGGGCAGCGCTGATTACATGGACTACAACCCTCGGGGAAAACCAGAGTCCGACATCCTAACAGCTGTTCGGACCCTGGTTGTACTTCTGTTAGATATACAACGTATCCACTCAGCTAAACAGTCAGCGCTGAGTGTTAAGCTCAGTGGATATGTTGTATATCTACCAATCGGATATATATCTTGCACACGACACGCTTTTTATGTCTCTTACGTTGTACTGGGACCAATCTCTCCCTCCGTATGAAAACCTTTCGGTTCTGCTGTTGTATCAGCTTGTCCACAAGTACCAAGTATCGGAGGCCATGTTAACGGGTTTATTGGCTATTCTGCGCACGCGTCACACCGGCAAAGGTTTCGACGTTGACGACATCCGACACATCACAGCGAAACACTTCTACGGCAGGAGAATAACTCACCACCCACTTCTAGCGGTAGTCGAGACCTTTGTGCCCTCCTCGAAGGACAACGGAACTTCTGTGCCTGTTTATGATAAACCGTGCAACCTGCTCGTGAACCGTAAGATACAATCCCCGTCTTCATCGAGACATGTGTGCAGAGTTCGGGCGGTGAAGTGCTCAGAGCCGAAGAAGCAGAGCCAAATGGATTGANTGCGCACGCGTCACACCGGCAAAGGTTTCGACGTTGACGACATCCGACACATCACAGCGAAACACTTCTACGGCAGGAGAATAACTCACCACCCACTTCTAGCGGTAGTCGAGACCTTTGTGCCCTCCTCGAAGGACAACGGAACTTCTGTGCCTGTTTATGATAAACCGTGCAACCTGCTCGTGAACCGTAAGATACAATCCCCGTCTTCATCGAGACATGTGTGCAGAGTTCGGGCGGTGAAGTGCTCAGAGCCGAAGAAGCAGAGCCAAATGGATTGAGCAGCAACCACCTTTCTTCGGTGCCAACAGAGCCGGCCGGCAACGCGTTGAGTACGAGCATGCACGGTAGACTCGCTCGAAACTCCCCTTTCTTTGGTTTTGATCAAGGCTCCTCTCGGGAATATTCCCGCGGGAAAAATACCGCGGTATTTCCACGGGAATGGGAAATGGGAGCGTTCCCGTGATATATCGCAATTCTCATTCCCATCCAAACCGTTACCAAGCAAATGACCGCTTCCCATTCCCATCCAAACCGTTACCACGGAGATCATATCCCGTTGTTCCCACCCAACCAAATACCGTGGAAAAAGTCGAATTCCCGTGGCTTTTGGTTCCCACCCATACAAATACCGTGCACAAATTCAATTGCCAATATCGTACGGGAATGTTAAACCAATTCCCGTCATGTATATATGTACTTCAGTACCGCCGTGGAGCAAGGCAGCTTAGAGGGTTGCATACAATCCTCAGGCGGGTGGCAGGTCGGGGGTTCGATTCTCTGTCTCTCCCTTCTTTTTTTATCCCCTTTTTTTTTTATTCTGTCAAACGAAAAGAGAACCTTTTCAACGAAAAAGAGAACCCTTTTGTTAACACACCCGCCCGCGGAGGGCGAAACACAAACACAACACCAA